AATGTTGGTGTGGCTTCGACGCATCCACATTGCGGCGAAAGAGAGGCGTTACAAATGATGTCACAGGCGCGGCTCTCGCACCAAAACTCAGCTGAGGCGACGCAGCAGCAAGACTAATCAACTAGCTAGGCTATCACGGTCAGGGCACATCGCGTAATCCAGGACCTTTTATCATATACGACCACCTTCCAATCTTCTCCTTGTACACAACCTCCTTTTTCAACCTACCTCCCCCTCACCGATTTTTCCCCCCGAAAGTTGCCATCGGATATGGAGGGATGGGGGATGGGCAGACAGTATAGGCAAATAATCAGCAAGAAGAAGTGGAAGCTTTGCCGTGCCACCAACTGGGTAGGAGGGGCGGTGTGGGGGCGCGAGTAGCGTGACCCGAAAAAAAATCAGGAATCATAAAAACTTACCTTGGCAGAATACGACCCTCTTCTAGCAACAGAATACTTTTAAATACAACTTACAGTACATTCTTCCTGCATAACACCTACCCCAAGTCTGAGTAATCTTTGGCGTGCCCTGAATAGAGATTCAAGGGTTTCTCAACGTGAGGTCGTGGTTCCTATAGTACTTGATCGTAAGTAGAGGGTCGTATTTTGGCTTTAGGTGAATCTGTGCCAGTGGGAAGGGTTGTGAAACTTCCACGGAAGATCAGGAGGTCCCGCTCATTCCTTTGGGCACAACATGTACTTCCGCTCAATGGAATTTTTTGAAGCGGCAGGTCGCTGTGAGTTGTGACATGGAGTTGTGATGGAGTCTTATGCGAGACCGGGATTGTACGAAGGGAGTCTTGTTCAAGTTGTACTTTCCTCACCGCTATGGCGTGCCTTCTGGGAAATACCCTGCTTATTCGCGTGCGACGTCGCGAATCAGTGTCCTGGACTAACCCAAAGTCCAGAGAGACGAGTGATCCCAACAAAGTTCTACTCTTTCGTTTTTGAAAAGCGTGAGAGTTTGTCGATCACCTCAAACTGAATCTATTCAGAGCTTATTTCCAATCACCATTACGAGTGTCTCCACCGAGGTGGTCATAAAAGGTGTCCCATCAGACAATCTCCTCTCACCGGATCAAACTTCAACTGGATTCATTGAGTCTCCCAGGTAAGCACGTGTTGTTTTGGCGAATTCCCATCGGGTCATCGCCTTTTCCTCCACCGGTTCATACCTTGCCTACTCCTGGCCAAGATTTATCAATCCTTTCATATACCACGTTTGGCCTCTATTCGCCGGGAAACGTTTGACGGGTTTCAATGTTTTCAGGTACCCAGACGCATATCCTCGTGCGCTTGAAAAGAAGTACACCCTGACAAATCTGAAAAAGAACGGCTATGTTCGCCTCGTGTTCGACGATTTCCATGTGCACTTTCAGAGCGAAATGCAGGTGAGTTGGACCTATTCAAAAAGCTCTATAATCCTCTGTTTGGCACCGCACCGGTCATCTATAGGACATTCTTAACATTTTTAGCGTTTCGGTAACGCTCAGATCTTGTATGCTTATCTTTGAGATTGCTCTCTTTCATGGGCGTATGGAAGTGGTTCCCATCTTATAGGCTGTTCAGGGAAAATAGCGAAAGAATTTCCTGCTAGAAGTTTATCCCTTTGGCCGTTAAAGGTGCGCATAAAGCTGGAGGGTTGCCATAACCGATGTTCTTCATGTCTCCGTCTGCCAGCAATACACCACAGACACGCAACACGCCGCACGACCAGCCATACGATTAGCCATAGCCACATAAACTACGTGTGTGTGCTCTTGCTAATATTTGACTGGGATGCCATTGTTCTCTACGGCTCGACTTCTGTAGCCTGCCGATTCCTTCGCTGTGAGACCTGAACGCCAGGTTCCGCAGTGAACCTATTGGCAACATACGAGAGGCGGGGATGCTGTGGTGACAAGTGGAGCGCTTACCATTCTTGCGGTTCTGAATTCAACCGGGTCTATTCCCGCCCAGCTAACCAAGCCTTCTACCCCCTTGGACGGTAAACTGATACCAGATTCGTCTGGGAGGATAAAACATTGATGCATCGGCTGGCTGGCAGGTCATTGTATAGGCCAAATTGCATTCATTAAGCCACTAGGATTCTAAATGGAAGCAGAATGTGGCCGCATCTGCAAAAGATTGATAAACGGCAAAGGTTTTATCCTTTTACCTACTGCGTATAGCGTGCGCATTGCTTAGTAGGAAATGCAATAAACGACCAACTGCCAACATTCCCTGCCCCATTTCGATGCCATGGCCAAAGCTACGGATCTCAAAACCTTGTGCATGGAGGAGATCAACCTGACAGCGCGTATAGCGTGTCTTTAGGTCCTGTAAATTGTGAAGGACCCCAGGCAATGTCTTAACTCCCTGATATCCTTATTTTTTCTTCGTGGAGGTACTGTGCTAAATTGTGGGGTTGGCCTACGACTCATGCTCGGTTCGCAGCACGCCAAAAAGGGGGTGAATGGTTCATGCTCGCAGAATGACGTACTTCTCCATCCTCCCGAACACTGATGGTCTAACGAGTTGTGAGACCAAAAGAAGACCAACAATGCAAATCCCGCATGCCTAGACTCCACAAATAACCCGACACAGCCCTTGTACCACCTATAAGGTCCAGAATTTTAGCGCGAGGGATCAAAGTCAAGTTCAAATAGCTATGAGCGTGTCACATGGTGACGTGATGGATTAGCTTTTTTTCTTAAGATTAAAAGATTAATCCGGTTCGAGGGCCACTAGGCAGATGCAAATTTCGGTTTTACATGGTAATCCACGAGGATCCAAAACAAACCGACTGCCCCCTCCTCTGTTCTATAGTGGAGAAGGACAACTGTTTTGACTGTAGGGGCACTGCTGATTTGTAGGGCTTCTTCTCTGTGAACTTTTCGGGGGAGGGAAGGGGGAGGCTGCGTGCAGCCTCGCACCAGCAGGTTTCTATCCACCAATTGCTGCCGCTTACCCGCTTTACGCCTTAACAATTGGTGGAGAAGGGGTGGGCACCGCGCTAAACCTAGCCTCTGACACGCCTCTGCATCCGCAGCGGACAAGCCTGTATTAGGACTTTATAGGTCTCCTTCAGCCTAGCGTTGCAGCTAACAATACCTTCTATGGGATCTATATGCTGGAGATTCCGCCAGTTCCGAGTATGGAGAAAAAGAGATGGTACCAGGAACCTCAGGAACCGTATGAACTCGGGCAGAATGTCCAACCTGACGTATAGCCTGCGCCAAGGAGAATTCACAAAGTTTCTTGGCAATCTCGACTGCGGTGAGAACGCTCGACAGAAAGCAGGAATGCGTAGCGGTGGATCCGTGGGAATCAGCGCCGGGTATAGATCGACGGGATTTTGACTCTTTCGATCTGTCACCCCGACTTTTGCTCGTCGATAACTGGCAGCAGCTGGGTTCCGGAGAGGTTTGAGCGTCAGTCGTCTTTCCTTCTTCCGGCGACGCCATTGGTCTGTTGGATTTGCGTGGTCTTCTTTTAAACATCTCCATGAGAAGGATGGCGTTATAGAGGTACCCCCTACGATTTCCCACGACCAAACTCCATCCAGTGGCAAAAACTAAGTTCGGGCGCAAGAAGCCGTCCTTGAAGATATAATCTCAAGCAGATTGTTATGTGGGGGGCTATTGCTTAACAATTACGCCATTCTCTAGATTAGGCCACTTCTTCAAGTGAAACAAGGAAAAGCTTAGGCGCGTTCAATGTATGGTGAATCGCTTAACGACTCAGCTAATCACCCACACAATAAGCGCTGGTAATTATGGCCTTTTTAAATGCCTCTCAGTTTTTTCTCCAGTTTCTCCAAATTGAGTGTTTGCCTCGAATGGCTCTTCTAGTTTGGCATCCCTCTCCTCAGTGGCCATTCAATGAAAGGTCAAAGTCGGCGGCAGGTAAGTGTGGGAAACAATGTGTTTCCAATATTTACGCTAATTAGGGTTTTTCGGATCATCGCAGAAGAAGGATTGAAAATGTTATTCGGGAAAATCCTATAAACCATCTGCACATTTATTTTTGGAATATTTAGCTTACGCTTTCTTTATTACTGTACATTCAGATTTGTCGGACAGCGTACGGGGGTCGGTGAATTGATCAAAATCTACAGAAACGAGTAGAACCGGTCGTCCACCGGCTATTCTGTCTAAGTGGAATCGGCCTTGACTCTGGTAGCTCATAAGGCTCAGGATTTCACGGCAAACGGTGGACTATTTCGTTGAATTTCGGGGTTTACCCGGAACGTTATCTAACTATTAGAAGAGAGCTCGGCACGTAAATTTCTATGTACCGCTGGATCTCGGGACCTTCCCCCACCCCTTTCCGGCTCTTCATGTACCTGGACGATAGGCGATTGTTGTGATTCTGTATGAGACTGAGTCGGGGAGCTCGTTTTAGCGTGCTAAAAGTGTTCACGAAACCTAAGCTTGTGTCTGTCCTCTTCCCTTAATTCATTTGCCTCAATTTGTTATATAGTTTCTCTCCAAATAGCAGCTGAACCGTGGGGTCTGCCGTTCGTGATGGATAGTCCATGCAGTCGGGTAACGGGTTCTAATCCGCCAGAACAGGTAATTTTTGTTTTATTCGCTAAAATGAGTGGCATGCACCTTCTCAGTCGGACATCCACTCGGGGAATTCAGCGACGGGGGGGAGACCATTTTGCACTTTTTGGGCAACTTCTTTATCGTACTCGCTTTGGGCCTCATTGTTGGGACCCTCTTCTCGAGCTTACAGGTTTTACCGATGGTGTTGCTGCGGACGAGCTTGCCCGCAGCTTTTCACATAGATGTTCATCAGGTTTCACTAAGAGTGCAGATCTTGGTGAACCGTGGATTAATGATGCAAGCGAGGTGCAAATGCCCCCCCCCCCGTCGCCGAATTGCGCCGTCCACTTTTATAGTCCTATTATTATTAGTTTGATGTTAACAGTGGAGACCAAACTTGGAGAAACTACGAAATCTATTGGCGAATGGCCAAAATCAAGCTTCGTCTACCATTTCTAGGATTGCACGCTCATGATAACATGATCTTTCGGGTACATGACAAAAGAATCGTAATTCGCAGCGTTGATTGCGACTTGCGAGCGCGGCTTCGCGTGCGACGTGCGACGCGATGGTCCAGGATCAGATGGTGACAACAGGCATATTGTAACGGCAAAAAATAAATGAGGCAGCACAAGTGAAATCCGATGCTTGCCAGTCGACAGCTCAAAGCCGAGTCAAGTGAAACGCCACGCCCATAACGCGCGCGGATCGCCAATTTACGATTCTCTTGCCCGTCTCCCCTATCTTCCAAGCAAAGCAGCTACGAAGTTACTGGGTGAAGCGAAAACTACCTAATCACCGATTTTCAGGTTGGCTTCCGTGCTCGCTACGAATTCGTGGACGAGAAAGAGTGGTCGGACAGGCCGAATGCCAGAGGTTCGTCCAGCGACGCTTGCTCTGGCCCGTATAAGCGTACTTATTTCTAGATTGCGATGAATTCCTCGAAGGCTATGGTGGAGAATCAAATTGGATGGCAAAAAAATTCGCCCCTAAAACCATTCCTAAAATCAATACCTATGTGGACTGTATCTGGATCATCGGACGCTTTCCACACATGGCTCGGACATTCGATAGGATATATTTGAAGGTGTCATGTTAACAGTGCTTAGGAATAGCTGCAGAAGTTCGCAGTTTGGCTTGGTGGGGGCAGCAAGTTTTCAGCAAAGTCTTCACAGGTCACCTTGTGAGATCAGTAAATTCAAGACTCGTAAAATTCGAAAGGTTTCACCAAAATGGAACCTTTCACATAACATGAACTAGCAAAAGAAACTTGTCGAAGTGGCAAATGCCCCTCTTCATCAAACAGTGCCAGAAAGTTTCCATTCAAAAATCAGAGCGAGATAGCAACAAAGGCACTGCTCACGATCAATATGAAAAGATAAAAATATAGGTCAAAAAAAACAAGAAAAAATACGTTTATATGCCCCAAAGACACTAATATTTTCGAAGGTGCCAGTTCAGCGGTGTTATTGATTACTCATATGAAGCCAGCAGTGGGAAAACTCGTCCAATCATCCACAAACTCGCACAATGCACAAAAGCCAGAGCGCTCTATCATAAGCATTCGACGTTTTTCCTGCTGCTTTTCTGACTTACGTGTCACATATCGCCTCCCACTTCTTGCTTGAACGCAAGTTTTCTATCATGCAATCGTACACTGTGCCTTTAAGTTCTTGCAGGCACAACGGTACTCACAGAGGTATTAATCTCTGTCGCTTTTTATCCCTTTCTCGTGTGCTAGCGAATTTGATAAGTGGAACCTTTGTGAACGGCTGAGAAAGAAGCAAAACTCAATTTATCATCTATTCAACCTTTTCATCAACATGTCGCTGAATTACTTCATTTCAGATCGAGGAATTTCATATGAAAGGGGTCGGATTACGACTGGAAATACGGGAAGGAGCTTCGTCGACGTCGGATCGCTTGCTGCTTTTGTTTGATTCACAAACACGCGATCAGGTTCAGCATAAGCAGCCCAGGTGCAGTGACTGATTGACAGCATTTCCCCTACAATCATAGGGAAGAAGGAACGTACAATTCTAGGCACGGCTTCGCAACAACCTCATCAACACCTGCGTTCTACATACGACTCCGAGGGTATCTCATGGGAAGGTGTGTGCTTTTCTCTATTGGGTTTTCTGAGAGCTTCTAGATGAGCGATGAATCAATTTTTCCTCGGAGATCTCCATTTCTATTTCGCTGCACTTAGGTAATGAAAACCAGAACTTTTGGCTCCAAAGGCTAGAGCGCAGAGAAATAGGGGACTGCGGCTTCCGGGGAAGCGAAACGATGAAAAGCATGTTGTAAGCGAGGGGAAGGGCTTTTCAGGGGAAGGGGAGTTCGGGGACGATGTTCCACTCAAGAATGAGTGCAAAGTTGAAATGTCAAAAGTCATGCCGACGTGGTAGCATAAAAACAAAGCAGATTGAGGGTTAGTTAAGGGATTGAACTAGACCGAGGGCCCGAGTCAGGGCACATCCTATGTGGGAGATTCCCCAGCGGAGGAGGCGTATCCGGCAACGGAGGGGTATCGTATTTGATCCGAGAAAATTCCGTAGCGCCCGGTAGAACTTCTACCCGTCAAAAGGCTCCGAAGAAGGCGATGTTCGCCGAAACGTTAGTCCAATAAAGCTATCTGTACAAATCTCGGGAGGCTGAAGAAACATTCTGAATTATTACGAGAAAATTTCGATCGGCAGTTGGTTTTCCTGCTTCACGGGCGCTATCCAAACGTTGGGAAAGTTCCATTAGAGAGCGTCGTATTGCTGTCGTATCCCCCTCTCCCCCTTCAGTTGGTGGCGTTTCAGAAGTACTACAGAACTATTATTTTCGATAGATGGTATTAGGATGGAGAACGGGAATCTTAACAGAAGTAGAGACTTTTTTCAGGATTGTAGAGAGGTTGTATTTTCCGAGGATTTCCCCTAGCGGCAAGACGCTGAACGTGCCCTGGGCCCAGTTGCCAGCAATGAATGTAATTGCCTTCTCTGAGGGAAGAACAGTGAGGAACGCTCCCTCCGCCCTTCAGAGCTTCCTCCAGAGCACGCTGGAGATTTCTCAACTAAAGGAAGAACTTTAGCTGCAAGTAAGGGCAAATCGCATTGGAGAAAAGTTTCTTTCATCGTTATGTCTTGCCACGGTTCCTTCTGAAGAGCATGTTGGTCTCTGTTGCTTTCTTCACTCTCTCTCTACCAGCTATTCATTTCAGCAGTGGTTTGGAGATCGTCTACACTCAGTTCTATCGATGGGCCACTGCTCTTTGCCCAGGCGTTGGCGAATTTCACTGTGACAACGCACGCTGCATAAAGGTTCGTTCCCACTGAAAAAATTACAACCGGGTACAGTGGAATATAGAGATTCCCCTGCAAAAACTCCTGATTCAGGCAACTCTACGCTGCGACGGAACCAACCATTGTGGTGATGGCAGTGACGAACATTGCCAACGTCCGATTTCTGACTTCAAACAGCCGTATGTTTCCAAAATTTTCTCCCTCTGAGACAGAATAAGGCCTAGTCTAATTGGGGGACAGAATTCTGAACTGGCTCTATGAACTTTCATCCGCATTGTTATTTAGTGATACCGATGTGTCGGGATTAATAGCGCTGGTAATTGGTGTGTGTGGTCTGATTCTACTGATTATCTCGACAACAGCCGTCATGGGTCGATTCTATCGTCGACGACTAGCCGCCCAGCTGAATGGCACCGATCTGTCTGCACGTACGTGGGCTATTCCATCGCGAGAGCTGTAGGCAAAACAAGCACTGTACAATCAGTACTTTCAGCCACCCCATATTCCGATCCGACAGGGCCCTCAATACAGACAGTGGGAGAACGGCGGTTTTATGTCGTTCCGGAAAGTCAAATATCTGTCATCGAAGCGCCACCCTCCTACGACGACGCTCTCAAGCATCCACCGGTAAGATGAGTTTTTTAGGCCGCGTTCACACTTTGCGACTGAAGAGATTGAGCGATCGCTAGCGATCAGCGCCGATCGATCGAGACCCATCCAATCCTTTCGCGCGCAATCGTCGCACCTTCAAGTCTCCCAAATCGCCGGTTCGCTAAATCTCCGCCGTCGTCGCCGTCAATGCCTATACTTTCCTCACGGCGCAATCTCTCGAATCGCCGAATTTCCTCAGTCGCAAAGTGTGAACGCGGCCCTATTGTAATAAATGATGAGATTTTGTTGATTTCTGCCTCAGGTACCATCATCGCGGACTTCTGCCTTTTTGAATCGTGCTTATGTCAACAGTGCTTCCGAGGTAAGACAATGGGGTGCTAACGCAGTTCGGTGGGGCTACGAGGCAGCGAACCTGGGCTCGGTAGAGTGCAGACGACTGGAGTCGGTGTGGCACGAATTCTCACAGCAGACATCAGTGTCTATCGCTACGGATGCTGGGGCGTGTCAGGGGGCTGGGTTTGAATCAGAGCCAGCCAGTTCTTCCGCAGTAAACCCAGCACCCCTGCT